TCTAAGGCTATCAATCACAGATTAGTATCAATCCTCTAGAGTCAACTTTCCTACAATAAGCTATACAAATCTGGTTACAGCTATACAAATCCGGTTATAATTACACAAATCAACACTCCCCCTCAAGCTGGTGAATAGATATCTTTCATTCCTAGCTTGGAAACAATTTCATGAAACACTGGACTGTTTAATCCTTTAGTTAGAACATCTGCCAATTGACTTCCTGATGTTACATAGGACATGCACACTAAGCCTTCTTCCAGCTTCTCCTTGATGAAGTGTTTGTCAATTTCGATGTGCTTTGTTCTGTCATGTTGTATAGGATTATGAGCAATGTTAATTGCTGATTTGTTGTCACAGTACAGCTTCATAGGTTCTTCCCACTTGATTCCCAAATCATCCAAGATAATCTTTAGCCATAGCAATTTACACACTCCTCGAGCCATTGCTCTGAATTCTGATTATGCGCTTGACCTTGCTACCACATTTATTTTTTTTACTCCTCCACGTTACCAAATTACCACTGAGAAACGTGCAATAGCCCGATGTGGATCTTCTATCCACCATAGATCCTGCATAGTTTGCATCTGTATAGATTTCCAGTGTGAGTCTATTATTCCTTCTGAATAGAACTCCTTTTCCCGGACAACTTTTTATGTAGTGCAACACCCTGTAGGCAGCTTGAAGATGTGACTCTCTTGGATCATACATAAATTGACTTATCATGCTCACTGAGTATGCTATATTCGGTCGTGTATGAGAGAGATAAATGAGTTTTCCCACTAGTCTTTGATACATTTCTCTATCAACCCTTGGTTCTTCCTTTGCTCCAAAAGCTTCTGGTTAGGTTTAACCGGTGTAGTTACTGGTTTGCAGCCAAGTTTTCCTGTTTCCTTTAAGAGATATGTCACGTACTTCTGCTAAGAGATGAAAATTCCTTGGTTTGAATATGAAACTTCAATCCCAAGGAAATACTTTAGCCATCCAAGTTCCTTTATCTCAAATTCTTTGATCAAGCACAATTTTAGAGCTCGTTTTCATCCTCATCATTTCTTGTGACAATAATATCATCAACGTATACTAAGAGCGCTATCACTCCCCCTGTGGCCGAATGTTTGATAAAGAGAGTATGATCTCCTTGGCTCTGTTTGTATCCTGCTGTCTTCATGACTCTAGCAAATCTCCCAAACCAAGCTCTAGGAGATTGTTTCAATCCATACAAGGATTTTCTTAGTCTGCTTACCTTATTTTCTGTCTCTTTTCCTCCACAGCCCGGTGGAATACTCATGTAGATTTCTTCTTCTAGATCTCCATGTAGAAAAGCATTCTTCACATCATATTGTTGAAGTTGCCAATTGAAGTGAGCTGCCAGAGATAATAGGATTCTTACAGTGTTCATCTTTGCAACTGGAGCAAACATCACCTGATAATCAACTCCATAAGTCTGAGTATAACCTTTAGCAACCAATCTTGCTTTATATCTTTCAAGTGTGTCATCAGCCTTGTATTTCAGAGAAAACACCAATTTACAGACTACGAGATTATTCCCTTTCGGCCTGTCTACAATCTCCCATGTTTTGTTCTTCTCCAGTGCATCCATTTCTTCTCTCATAGCATTCCACCATTCCCTTTTTGATAATGCCTCAGATAAGGTATTTGGGATAGAAATAGTGTTTAGAGTCACAATGAAATTTCTATGGTGAGGTGACAAACGTTTAAGTGACACATAGTGGGACAATAGGTACAACGGCCGCTTTGTGCATTCCCTGGTACCTTTTCTAATGGCAATAGGTAGATGGGAATCACGGTCTGGACTTTCAGTGAATTGAGTGTGTGAGGAAGGGTCATAACTTACCGTGTTTTCATTAGCAAGACTTGAGTTGGAATCTCGAACTTGTGTCTGGTCTAGAACAGCTTTTCTTCTTGAATACACCTGAGGAAATCTCATAGAGTCATAAATATGGACAGGTGCTGGGGAGGAGACTGACTCTGGAACCGAAACAAGTGAAACAATAGGCGTTGTGGTGAGACTAACTCTAGAATCGAAACAAACACAAGATTTGAGGTGGACTCGGGATTATTTGAGGCAGACTCAGTGGAGTTTAAGTGATTCTGATTCTGTTGAGGAACCGAGAAGGGTAGGTCAAGAGGAGGAACCACGGATTCATCAAAGTTCTTATCTTCCATAAGTATATTCTCCCCCTGAAGATAAGATTGAGTGAAGTGTGGTTTATTCTCAACAAAGGTGACATCAACAGATATATAGAACTTCTTAGAGGGAGGATGATAACACTTATACCCTTTTTGTGTAGATGAATATCCAAGAAACACACACTTGATTGCTCTAGGATATAGTTTTCCTCTATGTCGGTTATGAACATGGACAAAGGAAGTATAGCCAAAGACTCTTGGTTAGAGGCCATTAGAGGTCCTGAAATTTGGATAAAAATCAACAAGAATTTCCATGGGACTTTTGAAGCCTAATATCCGTGAAGGCAGCCTATTAATCATATATGTAGCAGTAAGAACGGACTCTCCCCAATAGGACTTAGGAACATTTCCTTGGAATAACTGTGCCTGAGTGGTATTAAGTAAATGACCATTCTTCCTTTCCGCAACACCATTTTGTTATGGTGTATTGACACATGATGACTCGTGGATGATACCCTCCTTTTGGAAATAGGGTGACAAGACTTGGTTGAAGTAATCTTTTGCATTGTCAGACCTGAAACTCTTTAATTTTACCCCAAATTGATTTTGAACCATGGAATGAAAATTAGGGACAACATAGCTAACATCGGATTTTTGCTTAAGTAGGAATAGCCATGTAACCCTAGTGCAATCATCAATTAAGGAAACAAACCACCGGGCCCCTGAAATATTTGGGATTGTACTGGGCCCCCAAATGTCACTATGAATCAAATCAAAAGGATGAATACTTCTTTTATTACTAATAGGAAAGGATACACGGGTATGCTTTGCAAGTTCACAAATATCACAATGAAAATCTGCAATATCCAATCCTTTAAACAAGGAAGGAAACATTATATTTAAGACTCTAAAGGACGGATGACCAAAACAAAAGTGATGACGCCAAATAGCCTCTTTATTGGAAGTACTGAGAAATGACAATGACTTTCTTTGAAGTACTTGGTGTTTCAAGATAGTAAAGTCCATTCCGTTCCTTAGCAAGTCCAATCTTCTTCCTCGAATCCTGTTCCTGAAAAACACAGTGGGAAGGATTAAAAATTGCACAACATTTAAGATCTTCCGTAAGTTTTTGAATTGAAATCAGGTTGGCTGACAATTTTGGTACGTGGAGGACATTTTTAAGGATGAGAGAAGGGGTTATATAGATGTCTCCTAATCCTGCTACTGTAGCAAGAGAGCCATTTGCCAACACTATTTTCCTATTACTCGGACTTGGGGTATAGGTGCGAAAAAGGTTTGAGGTGTGTGTCATATGATCTGTGGCCCCTGAGTCAATTATCCAAGAGTTGACAAAACACTTTTCTGAGGCATTAAATCCAAAAGAAAGTGGAGACTTTACCTGAGAGTGCCAATGAGCAAGCACCAGAAGGTTTTTCAAGGGATCCTATCAAGCCTCTAAGTCTTTCAATTTCCTCTCCACTGAGTCCTTCTTGCTCCTTTTTCTCTGGAGGATTGTCCTGCTCTGTCAAGTGTGCCTGGCCGTATGTTTTTGACTGCTCTCCTCGGTAACCCCATTCTTTGCTTGAAGTGGATGGTTTACCATGCAGTTTCCAGCAACGATCCTTCGTATGCCTCGGTTTCTTGCAGTAAGTGCACCACAAATTGTCCCGGTCTTGATTATCCTTCCCTGAGAATCTGGTCAGATTTTGGATCATGGAGTCTTCCTCATCCCAAGCATCAAATTTTGGATCCCCCTGCTTTGGTCCCGTACCAAGGAGGTGGTTGAGTTTCCCTTTGCCTTTCAAATAGGTTCGGACAAATTAGGACCATTTTAAATAATTTTTTCCATTAAGCCTATAAGTGGACCAAATGTTCTGCAAGTCACTGGTTGGACGGTAGGAATTATCCTCTTCAGATTGAGAAGTTTTGGAGACTTTGGGCTCATACATGATTCTCAAGATTGAATGAAGCCGAGAATAATCAAGAGGGAAAAACATGCAAAGGCGGCCAAAAAACAGGAAAAAGTAGTAACAACAATGAAGGTTGAAATCAAAAAACAGGGAACTGCAGTAATGGCAATCAAGGTCTGCAGCAATGAAGGCCACGATCAAAACACGACAGCAGCGAACAGAGGCAAAAGCAGTTTTGGTGTGTCCATACAATCCCGTACAGAGTGGCAGCGGGCAAAGTTACAGCAGCGAATCAATGGAACTTCAAAAACAGCAGCAATGAAGGCTTCTGGAGAGAGTGATGATGGATATGGGCAATAAAGCCCTATGATGAGGCTTGGCAATGAAAGCCAAGAAAGAAACGGCAATGAAGGCCTAAGAAATAAACAAAACCTGGGTGGCCTAGGTCTCTGATACCATGTAGTGAAATAGCTGAAAGTTTGAAAGAATGAATGTGTTTTCTTCTGATTTCACCGAATAAGAAAAACATTACAATATATAGACTCCTCTACAAATACAGAATAGGAAACTAACCAAAAATTAGTCAACCCAATTAGGAAACTATCTAGGCTATCAATCACAGATTAGTATCAATCCTCTAGAGTCAACTTTCCTACAATAAGCTATACAAATCTGGTTACAGCTATACAAATCCAGTTATAATTACACAAATCAACACAAGCCAATTGAGTAGTAGACTCCCATGAAGCTATATGCAAAAAACAAATATAAGGAGAAAAAATGGTTTTACTTTACCTATTATGGATGTTGACATACTCATCTGTTTCATCCAATATCTCCTCCTGACAGAACATAAAATAGGATCAGATTGTTTTCAGGACTAAATACAAGCACCCTGCTTATACTTCCAAATACTGCAGAAACAATGGTAATAATCTGAAAAAGCTGAATCATGATCTATTCAAGCCATTCTAATTAGTGGCACCCAAAATGTAGGGTTGTGCACCTCGATACGTATCAGGACGAGATGACAGTAACTCCCATCAAAGGCGATAGGACTCTAGTCTCTACCATGATAGGCATTCTTAAATAACAGCCATAGGTATCATAGCAGGAAAGGAATCGCCATGTACCAAGGACCAGAAAAATGGCACGCCCCAAACCCCAGCGTGAACTTTTGCTAGACGTGGCCATCACTTGCAATGTGTTGAGCAATAACCATTACCTGAAGAAGTTCTTCAATGACATCCTCCATGGTGATTACTCCAACAACCTCTTCATTGGGTGAAAACTCGAGAATGGGAGCATTCTCAACATCCAGAATGCAAAAGGAACAACCTCTGTGCCGCTTCTTGAAAGCTGGAGTAGATGGGGGACTTTTCTTCATTTGTTGACCTTGCCCTCCACTAATTTTATTCAGACCTGTCTGAGGATGTGAATCAAATTTAACCCCCAAATTTTCAATAGCACCAGTGGGTCCAACCGCCTTATCACCTGATAATCCAACAATCAGTATAATTCACAGTTTAAACAAAAGATTACTATAACACAATGTATGATAAATTGCAATGATAAGAGAAGTGACTGTAGTTGAGACCACCCCCTATGCAAATGCTATTGCTAATTGTATATTTAGCACTAAAAAGTATGATATAGTATGTTAGAGCATCTCCAATGCAATGTTAGAATTGATGTGCCAATTGCAAATTTAGCATTTGAATGCAAAAAACACTCTCCAATAAAATGCTATTTATTGTGCCAAGTTTCCCATATGTTATACTTTGTGGCAAATTTCCCACTAAGTATAGCATATGAAAAATTTGGTATTTGATTGCTATCCTTTTTCATGTAATCATTATAACTTTTGCAAATTTTAATTATTTTAAAAATAAAAGTTTACTTTTACAACTTTCAAAGCTTAATGATTATGGGAAAAAGTAGATTTAACATTTCAAATAGCATTATGTATTGCAGAAAAAATGAAAATAATGAGACCCATGAGAATCAAGTCAATGTTTGGCGATTTAGCAAACAAAAAAAAGGACATTGATTTGGCATGTAGAAGAAAACATATCACAGACAATATAGAAACGAAAGTCCTTAAAAAAAGGGAAAAAAATTAAAAATGAAGTAGAAGCACAATAAAAATCACTAAAGTTATCTCATAAGAATATATGAGGGTTTACAAGTAAAAAATTCAAAACTTCCACCACAATATGAAGACATTGACCTTCGGAGTCCTAACAAAATTAACGTTCAGCAATGTAATTGCCAATAACAATTATGTGACAGAAATATCTTTGGCATTCATTCATTAATGCTTTGAATATCCTTACCTTTCTTCGATGATGGCTCAGATTGGACCCTTTTTGGTGTTTCTTTTTTCTCATTTAGATCTTTATAGATAACAGCAATATGGCTGTGACCCTTCTGAAATTCATTTAGAATATCATATAGAGGCATGTTTTCTGAAACCCTGTATGATGGATGATATAATCAAGAATAAAGAATCGAAAGCAGAAAGAATGAAAAACAACAAGCTCAATTTTATTTATTTATTTATTATTGTTTTTTTTTTAATGTCACAACGTCTTGCTATCATATTTATCTATCATCACAAGCCAGCCCTGCCAACAATTGGGTTACCATGTCTCTCATCACCATAAACTAAATTAAAACGCAAATGAATTTTGAGGTCTTAACTATACCGAGGAATCTTTCTTATGACCATTTTTCTCACAGGAACTGCATCATCTGGATCAACAGCCAACAGATTCTTAACCTGCACAAGTACAAGAAATAAGTTAAACTACCATGCAATGAAGATAAAAAATAAAACAAACAAACAAACAAAAATATCAGTTAAAACCATTTGTGACCGCACTTCAGAAGAAGAAAAATAATCAAAGTTCTGGAGATGGAGAAACAAAAAATGCGGTAACCTTGGATACCAAGATTCAGAACCATTTAATTAAAAAAAAAAAGATTCAGAAACCATGATCTTAAGGCAAAGAGGTTACCAGAATAAGTCCGATTATATTTTTGGGATTTCCTGCATAAACTGGAACTCTACTATGACCCATTGTCATTATCGAATTCAATGTCTCCCTGTGATACAGAGATATAAAGAAAAGCAGGGGTCAGGAGAGGGGGGGAAGAGCAGAGGTGAAACTAGGATCAACAAACATACAAATTAAGTGTTGCATCCAAATCAAGGGAAAATGCATTTGCTATTGGAGTCATGGCATCTTTTGCAGTTTTTTCAGTCAATTCAAGTGCCCCTGTGATGATGGTAGTCTCATCATGAGTTAGATCCCCACCCTTGCCCGCCTAAATAACACAAGTGTTTCATCAGACAAAAATAAGGGAGATATTCAGTTTTTCAAAATTTCAATCCGAAGCCCTGAGATAAAGTCCCTCTAAAGCATTAACAACTAGTACAAACAAAAACCCGACACACCATGTGCGAATGCAAAATTTGGGTCTTGTACCTCATTGCCATGAAAATTCACAAAAGTCTTGAGCTCTGCTCGCCTTAAGAGGACAGCATGTCCCTTACCCAACATCCAATCAAGAACCTACACTTCATATTGATTTGATCAAGATGAATGGAAATATCATAAATGAATTGTACACAAATAATTCATGATACAAATTCAAAGATCACCTTACTGATTGGATAAGTTATTGGGAAAAATATCATGAGAAGAACACGGACAAGTGGTGCCAATGTCGCTCCTATAGTCAAGCCATAGCGTGTACAGACAGCTTGTGGGAATATCTGAAACAAAACACGCAGTGTACATATGATCGAATATTTGGTGCAAGCAGACACCTTATAGGACAGACCATGAAATCTTGATCTTGTGGGAGGGCATAACTCACCTCTCCAAACATTAGGATAAGAGTGACTGATATCAGAATCGCCGCCCAAGGAGGTACAAGTTTGTCCAAGAATATAGGAAGAGCCTACAGAGTATATCCAGAACAGAATTAGTAAGAAAATAGTCACAATTGCCTAATTAACTCTGCAACAACTATGTATGTACCTCCATCGCCAAGGCGTTGCCCATCAGAAGTGTGCAAAGAAGAAGATGCTGGTTCTTTACCACCGGATAAATTTTAGCTGCAAAATATCACAACAATTCAAATACGCCAATTCTCAAGGCTTTTAGCTAATATTATTATATTCCAAAGTTTCCCAATTCGCTAACACCAATCCCAAACCGATCAAAGTCACGAGCAAGAATTAATTAAGCTAAATTATTGCACCCACCAAGAATCTCGATCACAAAAGTTCACGCCCAAAAACTCAATGACCTGGTTGAAAACCAACAGGATCGGCGAAAACAGAAACAGAGTCCAAACTCCAAAACAATCAAAGTTCAAAATTTCCGTTCACCATTCCATTTGGATTCCATTTGCAGGCATAAGTCGGAAAAAAAAATTGCTAGAGAGAAGAAAGGGAAGAAAGGGAAGAAAGACTAACCGGCGTGCTTTCGATCCTGGGGACGGCCGGACTTCATGAGAACCTCAAGGTCGACAAGGCCAAGAGACATGAGACCCAGAGTGAGGCCGGCCATCAGCCCCGCAAAGGCCACCAGCCCTATAATTACCAAGACATACAACGAGAATTTCGTACCGCAGCAAGGCACGTCCGACGCCATCCCTCTCCCCGTATGCCTCTCCCCTTCACTGTAGGGGCAGATTCTAATATGGCTTTTGGTTCCGTCTCTGTTTTTTTTTTTTTTTGGGTCGAGTCTAAAGACCAACTTTCTTGATTTGATCACAGATTATTTGCCCACTATTGTGTTGCCAAAACGTTTTAATAAGACAGTACTTCTAATTTTTAAACAGATTCCCAAACGCTCGCGTGTATCTACTCAGACCGAACAAAAACAGTTCGCCTTTTAACACAAAGCGCACGAGGATACGACTGTCCAGTCGGCAATAGTCACCCCACTATCTGGTATTTACCGGATATGCTTTACGTCAGCATATACCAGTAATTTACTAGTCGAATAATTTTAGCAGCCGTACGATAGATACATGTCGGGGAATAAAAACATGTACCCAAGGCACCGCTCCAGTTGGTATTTTTAGCTTAAAAGAAAAACATCATGGTTAGGGGATGATTTTCGTGATCTCAAAAGGCACTAATCCAGAACCACGTGTGCTCGGGTAAGGTTTCGCCCGTTTTTTGCTAATCTAAGGTTTCGCTAGTTTGTTTGACATTCACTGGGGCTTGTACCTAGTATCCTACTTAACACATACCAACCGTCCTACGGCCGTGCTGCGCTGTCACTGGAGCCCACGAGCAACCTTTCAGTGATTACAGAGGAAAAATTAAGGATAAACTTCAGCAGAAACGACATTTTTTTTTTTCCAGGAGAAATCTTTTTTTTTTTTTTTTTTCGGGGGGTTGAAAATTGAAAAAAAAAAAAAAACCCCAAAAAAAAAAAAAAAAAAAAAAAAAAAAAACAGACAAATAAAACTTTCGTTTTGGCACGACTAACACTCTAGCAGCAATAGGTGAAAGTTGCAAGTGCCTAAATATTTAAAAGTACACTAGGAAAGGCATTAAAATCTGCAACTTGGAGATAAAATTGAAGACTAATGAAAACTTAAAATAAAAAATGGGTTTATCACAAGGGAGAGAGAACTCTTGAAGTCCACCAATTACCATTAGTCTATCAAGTAGAAAAAAAAAACACTCTATCTCAACAACTCTTGACTTTTTTGGATAAAGAACCCATAGATTAGAAGAGGTAGTTGTGGACTTGTAGTGGCGATTATGACGATAGCATTAGTCTTCCATAATTAGACCACTAATGAATGCTCCACGTCACACAAGCAGAATGGCAAAAACGTCCAAAGGGCTTAGTCCACTCAAGACCACCTATTGCTCAATTGATCTCCACCAATCACTAAACTAAACTAAGCAAAACACATCCCTGGGGGCATTTACTACTTTTTTAGTAATAAATATCCCTCGCGGCATTCGTGCAATTTTTACCTCAAGGAAAATAGAGTAAAGACAAATTCCATGGTTTTTAAGCAAGCAAACAAGAAACGTACTGCTTGTTGAATTAAGACAAATTCCATGGTTTTTAAGCAAGCAAACAAGAAACGTACTGCTTGTTGAATTGACAAGTGAAGCAAATAGTAGCCAACTCGGGGGCTACAGGCTAAAAGAATTGTAGCCAAGTCGGGAGAGACCGGCCAAAAAATGGTTCTTTACCTGGGAGCCACTCACATCAGATAATGTCTTTTCCTGTGGAGCCCCTTCTCGTCGCTTTATCACTTAAAAAGGCACTTAGAGAGCGACAGAAACGGCATATAGATTGAGGTAGTCGTGGACTAGATTGTTACCTTCCCTTTCATCAAGGCACAAGAAGCTGGATACGGTAGAGGTGTTTTTGTGAGCATTGGTTTTGTGTGTGGTTCTCTTTTCTTATCCTAAATAACCCGTAACCTGTGATCTTTTCCTAAACCCTTCTGCTATATATACCATGCATTATCTTCTTCACGGCCTTCTAATATTCTTTGAATCTCCCTGCAATTATATATCAATGTCGGGTCAAGAAAACGGCTTGCAACAAGCCCCGAAATGGGCCGACTATAAACTTCCAGACCTGTTGTTCACCGACGCCGTCCAGCAACTTCATGCTACAATTGGAAAAGAATGGGATGCCCTCAGACAGTCAGCATGTCAAACAGCAGCCGGGCGAGCTCTCTGGAGACACGTGATCCATGACCCTCTAGCAGACTTATTAGCGGGAGAGACATACCTAAGAAGCCTTCATGAGAAGATAGAGAAAGACTGCATCAACAATGCAAGTGAGATATCTGGAGTGATTCTAGCCATTCGAACCCTCTGGATAGATTCGAGACTGGAAGAAGCTCTTCATCCCTCACATGGAAAAGAGACCCAGATTGTTCTCCTTGGTGCAGGTGGGTAACTGTTCGTATCCTCATTCTTGCATTTGGTTAACAGCAACAGTCTTGTACTAGCCATTAGTGTACACAGGGTCCTAATCAAATGCATATTTGTATGTATTTATGTATCACTGACTTTAAAATCATACTAGATACTACTGATCTGGATGTTAAGTAATTCATCCACACTGTTAAAATCCGAGCTGATGCTTCCCTGTAATGCAATTAGCGCCATTTGTACAACAAAGTAAGCTCACTTTATATCCATGCACAAAAAAAAAAAAAAAGGCATACGAACACCGAAGTTGCTTCCACTTTGTAGCAAATTTATCCCCATATGCAATTCTAAACATGGTAACTACGTAATCAAACGTACTATAAATCAAGAAAAAAATAGATATACGGCTATCTTTTGTCATCTTGTATATGGTGCTTGTGTGTAATTTTAAATACAAAAGCAAGGAAATTAGTGCGCCTATTGCCATTTCCCCCCTCTCTTTGTTAGCATCTGAAAAAAAGAGCCGACCTACCAAAACAGAACTCCACTCAGAATTTAATTTACTAGTTTCAGAAGCTTGAAGAGACATAATAATGCAAATGCAATTCTTCTATAGGAATGGACGGGAGGGCATACCGGTTAAGTTGCTTGAAGGAATGTGATGTGTTTGAAGTTGATTTACCTGAAGTCTTGCAAATGAAAACCTCTCTTCTGCAAGCAGCAGTGGAATCTACAAATGATCACCAAAATGCGAGGGTAATAGCAAAATCCTTAACCAGAGTGGAAGCTGACATTAAAGGTAATGACTGGTTGGAAAAACTTAAAGTATCAGGGTATGTGCCAGAGAAGAACACAGTGTGGATTCTAGAGGGTATCCTCTACTACCTCACTCATCCCCAAGCAATGCAGGTACTGAAGATTATAGCTGACAAATGCACAACTACTCGGACAACCCTTCTGGCAGATTTTATGAATAAACCGTCAACTTCACTTTCCAATTCGCTCTTCCATTTCTACAGTGATTGGCCCGATCATCTCCTGCCATCTCTTGGCTTTTCTCATGTTACACTTTCACAAATTGGTGATCCAGATGCTCATTTTGGACTCCTTCATGACCCATCAAATTTGTTCAACAAGCTCCGCAACTTGCCTAGGTCGATACAAACCCACCCAGATGGAACACCGTGTTGTCGTTTGTATTTAGTACAGGCTTCTGGCTCCCCAACTCAAACTCTAGAGCCAGCAGATTTATCGTTAAATATCTCCACATAGCTCTACACCCTGCAAAGGTTACTACAAATGCGACCATGCAAGGGAATACCTTGCCATCACTTGTATCAGGAGAACACCTTGTTCACCCGCTTAAAGAATACCAGAGAAGATCAACCATCAATCATTATGAATATGAGATACCATGTGTGTGAACTCCTGATTGAGGCATGGGCATCGTCGTGTTGTAGTCTTGCTTAAGGAATATAATTCCCATTTGAAAATTAGAGAAATATATGTCCAATATTTCCTCAGAAATCATGTTTCTATATTAAAATTACAGTTCATTAGAAAGTAAAATTTTCAAATACGCCAGACTGGCCGCTGGTAACAGAGATATAATGCACACATGAGCAATAGAAATAATCCCAAGACGTTCAATACCTGCAATATAAGGTTAATCAATTATATAACCCAACTTCGATTTTAAAGCAACTACATTCCTCTAATTGTGGTCCAAAACAAAGTTGGCCCAAATAACTATTTAATACAACTTGGCAAAGGCACAAGCATTAAACTAGTATTTAAAAAAAAAAAACAAAAAAAACAAAACAAAACCGCCTGCCTGCCGCTGTCGTTTTATTAAAAGAATCATTTATTCAGATACGCAATTATCAATTCTGGTATAGCTCATAGGCTGCACGGTGCACCATTCAGATAGAGGACACAGAAGACTTCCATGCACAACGTCAAAGGCCAATTCCTTTCCATGTGAAACAAATAGATAGACATATTTCAGCTTTCTCAACAACTAATATGTAGCTGGCTTACAAGCAACGACAGTATACCGCATACCTGGTATTTCTTATAGAGAAAGTGTACCAATAGAAATATTAATTATTTAATATTATCAGAAAAAGATGATAGAAGTCAAAACTTAATTAAAACTAGTATTCAAGAAAGAGATATGAATGCCATGGGAGGAACACAAATAGCTCTTGTGTATTTCAATCAAAGCAAACTAGATCCCATAAGAACATGACTAAGCTAATTATGCATGTCAATCAGAAGCAATCTAGATCCCCGAGTTTAAAAGGCCTAAGTTTAAGTTTTGACTTTCATAACAAGACAGATACGGTTCATAAGTAACTGATACAATTTTTTTTTTCTTTTAATTTCCCTACTTTGGGAATTCTTATAGCTGAATAGAAAATTAATCTATTTTCTTGATCTGCTGCTGCTGCTCCTTAAAAGAATATTAATACACCAGAATCTCTTTCAAGATTATGGGATTTAGCTCATGTGGTAGATAAAACCATTCAAAAAAAAAAAACCCCCCCAAAATGTAACAGAAAAACCAAGCAATGGAAGTCAAGAATAATGAAGGCGAAGAACACAAAATAGAGGTGAAATATTACTTATCAAGATGATGAATGATGAGGTTGAGGAACATAGAGCACCAACTGAATTTCAGCATAATATACACATTTGCATGAGAAAAAATACATAGGTCAAGGTCAAACTTCAAGACAGTCCTTGATTCCCTGCTCAAACTTATCGAGGGAAGAGATGGTAGCCATGAGTGAATCTGCTATCCTCTGTCTGCAGCCAAAAAAGCCATGTAACTATGTTACACAAAATTAATGAAATATTGAAAGGGCTTGTGCCTGCAAATCAATTTGGGCTGACAGGCAAAATGATATTGAAAAGAGATCGATATACACTTTTTCAAGTCATGACAAATATGGATAGGGAACAAGAAACAAACACCAGTAAAAGCATATTGTGACTAGAAGTTCCAGGAGAAAACAAATAAAAAATAATAATAAAGGAAGAAGGAGCAAACTCTGGCATCAAGTTGAACGATAGCCAATAAGAGAACTATTTTTCCTTGTTAGCTATATTGTTCTCATATTGTCCAGTCATGATGGAAACAAGAAATTCAACGTAAATGATGCTACCAAACTACCCAACTTTAATCCTTGAGGACTTCTTCAAATGAATTTGGCGGCAGATTGACCCATACAGATCCACTCATTGGGTCCATCTTGAACTTTGGAGACTTGATTGATAGCAAGAAGCATCCATCAGCACACAACAAAGTATAAAATCCAGAGTTTCCCCATCAAAAAAAAAAAAAATCAACCATATACTCCAAAATGTGTTTATGAGCTTGGATAACAAAAACAATAATCATTGAAGGAAACAGACTCAATTGAATTTAACTGTTTGACATTCATAAATAAACAACCAAGATCAAGAATCACGATGCTTTTAACAAGCTATTACAATATACTGATAATCAAACAATCTTTGTATAGATGGTTCCAGTAATCTTGACATGGGAGATATACCTTTCGGATGGAAGTTTAATGTCAGCTTGATTTGCCACATCTTGTAACGAAGTGAAAGATCTGTAACATGCAAAGCAACAAAATGTCTCCATAAATATCTGCTCTACCAATATAGAGCATTCAAAGGTTGAAATGTCTTTATAAAGATACCCACAGCACAATATATCACATGGTCAACAACTATTACCTTATAAGATAATTTAATATAGCTTCAGCCTGCAACTTGACAGGATCCTTATTTTGAAGCAATGAGGACGCATTCTTCACAATCAGCCGAAATGTGCAAACCTATGAACCAAAGGAATTTAGAGGTTAGCTTATATTACAAGTCCAATAGCACATAATTCGTCTCTCCCTAATATTTCTTGTTCAACTAAAGACGGTTTGCTTGATCAAATTTAAAAAGCAAGTGCTCCACAAATACGACTCGTCTATATCCTAAATCGAGTAAAACTGCATAATGTGTGCGCTTGAAATGTATCAAACTACTGTAACCGATAAAATTTGCAGTGTAGAAACATAAAAAGGACCGAAGGACAGACCTCGACTCCGGTATTGGCTTGAAATGCGACGAACGAATTCCTCTCTCCTGGAACGCAATCTCTGGCGGCAGATCTCAACAGATTCTGAATTTCCTCCATATCCTTGTTTGAATAATCGGAATCCTTAGTCGCTGCACAAAAAAACAAAACGAATTCACCCTATAAGGCCGAAATAAAGCTAAACAACCACAATACATACGGAGAATATAGGAAAGTACTGAGTAAGAGATAAGCGGTGTGAAGACTCTGGCGCGAGGCATCGATTGGGGCCAAGAGAAACTTGGAGGCCTTCTTCTTCTGCTCCTTCAGCCAATCCTTCGGTCCTGCTGCGAACAGATCAAGAAATTAGGGTTTCAGACGGAAAACAGAGAAAGCAAAATCAAAATTGAGGAAATGTCAGCCGCTGACAAATTCCGATGGAGAATGCGGTCGCAGGTGCTGGTCGGAAGAGAGAAGGAAAGAGAGAGAGGAAGGAGAGCGATGCAAGGTCTCTGCGAGAAATGGCGATGGGAGGTTGAAGACGATGATGGTGTTCTTTGGGGAAGAGAGGCGGTGGATTTGAATTTGAAGGCAAGGAGGAGAAGGCGGGGAAAGGGGAGGCCGGTCTCGAGATAAGGCGGTGTCCAGATGGCGGCACCATCGTTGATGCTTTCTGCTCAAGCAATCCAAGACCGAGAGCCTTTCGATATTTATACGGGGTTTCTTTTTGAGGTAAGTGTGGGTGGTTCGCTGACTCAAATTTTTAATTTATGTTGAGATATGATTTTATATGAAATTTTTTTATTATAATAAAAAAGTTAGATGTGATTTTTTTTTAAAATTTTTTACTGTAATAAAATTTAAATTCTAAATTCGAATCGGTAAAATAAACGGGACTTGTATTAGTACACCACGAATCTTCAACGTTTTGAAACTTTACACCCCATAGGTGATGTTTTGTATATGAATTCTATAAACTCACAATTTTAGTTTTATTATAGTATTTTTCTCTTATAAAAATTTTAAATTTTAAAAGTTATAATTAAGAAGTCTGATTTAAATTTATATATTAAACGAGTCATTAGTTTTAATAAGTGGTACCACCTAAACTTTTAAATTTATTGTAGCTATAGTACAATAATTAACTGGCATCATTAATGAAAATTGTCCAAGATTTTTCCACAAATACCCATAAATTTTTAAAAAATACTTAAAGACACCGCTAGTGTTAAGCATCATCATTAATAAAAGATGAATCACATATATGGGTTCTATACTATGAGATTCACATTTTATTAGTGGATGGTGTTTAACGCTATCAGTGCCTCATGGAAGTACTCTAAATTTTCTATTTGGTTGACAAATTATACTTTAAAATTTTTAAATTTTTACATTTAGACCTTGATTGTCGTTCACTAATTGGTACTCATTATTGCTTGGACTATATTACTTATGTGGTAAAGTTCAAAGTCTTGCATACAAAAATTAAAGGTAGAGTGCGACGTGCAAATGATGAAAAAATTAAAAGTGCATAAATACAATTCAACTTTTTCTTTTTTCATTTTTTTACCATATCCATTTATATCTCGAATGTCAAATTTGTGTTTGTCAAGGTCCGATAGATTTGGAGGATATGACGTGTCGGGAGTGCACAATATTAGCATTTGGTTTATTGGTGTGGTTTCAACGTAGCCAAAATACTTAACGGTCCTTCAAAATTGAGATGACGATAGGACTTCCGACGAAGATATGGGGTCGGCTGGGTCCAAATTAAACCGAAGAACAAGTGCTTATGGCCCACTTTGTTGCTGAATGACGAGAATACCACTGTAAAAGTGTTATAGTAATATACGTGGAACTTCGTAGACGAAGAATGGTGGGAGGAGTAATCAAATAATTGATAGAGAGGTGACTCGAAGTTTGGACAATGCTTAGAATGAGGCAGTGCTCTAAGGACAACCGCATGCTGCTTTGGTGGCTTTAAGTATGAAGACTCATAGTTTGGATAAGGCATTGACAAAGGGATGTGTTGGTGAAAAGAACGTGGTTTGAAGTGAGCGACATTGCTCAAAAGGTGCTTGGTGATCATACTGAGATTTAAGCGTTTTTCAAAAAAGTTTTAAAGAAACTTAAAACACGCCTGGATGATTGAAGTGACGAATCAAAATGAGTTCTCGTAGAGTTTCTAAGGGGATCGACACTTAGAAAAACAAGCAACTCCTTCTAAACTTAAAGAACCTCAAGTTTTCTTACGTGAGATACTTGAAGGGAAATGGAGGGAAGCACTCAAAATGAAAGAAAGTCGTTATGAATATGGGTATTTTCTTATGAAGGGTAGTGAAGAAGTCATCCTCTCCCAAGTGTGGAAGAAGGGAGGTATTTATAGGGGAAAGATGGAGGCATTTTGATGGTTGCTTCGTTCAACGTGATCTGCACACGTAATACCATTTGGAGCAAGGCCGTCAGCTACCTTTCTGAGGTTGTCAAAGAGATTCGCCGAAAGTGGAATGGAAGGTTCTGGAAACTTGCTCCTGAAGGGAGATCGATAGTTCTTTGATGGAGCACTGTACACGCCATCCCATTTGAAGCTAATTCCCAGCTACCTTTCCAGAGCTGACAAAATGAAGCTACAAAAAATAAAGACTTGGAGACAAACCTCCAAATTTTAGGGTATTTGAAGTGTTTCTAGGTTTGAAACTCTCAAGGTATTTGACTAAACTCGGCTCTCTTTGGAGGCATGATCATGTGTTAGACCTTGTCAGAGATTGTTTGCACAAGAATAGCTAAGCAGCCATCAATTTTGCTCTGACATCAAGTTGCTTCGACGTCAGGCTGTTCCAAATGGGTGCGAGTGCTCCAAACGAACTTGAATGCTTTAAACAAGCGAACCTGACACGAAGAAATGCTAAGAAAAACATGCCTGCCACAAAGAGGGATCCGTTAAGGATGTTCGGCAGCTTGAAGAGACTCCAAATGAGTCAAAAACAACGAGCTAACCTTTGAGATGGTGGAAAATTTCTAAGGCATGACACTTGGGTTTGGAGCCTTTTAAAGGGGCTAAAAAAAGAATTTTGGATTTTCAAAGTGAAGAAAAGACTTTTTTGGGGTTGGATTTACCATAAACATATAGGGGAAATTGTAGTGAATGTCATTCTTTGGAAGTTAATTATAGTTAATAACAGAATTGTTTCAATAATGAAATAAATATTATATTTCTTTTAACTAAATTTTAAACTTCCAAAAATGTCCTGTCATATTCTTTATGTATCATCTTCCTTGCAAGTAAGCCCAAAAATCTTAGATCTACAATACTTTACACCATCGCCGCCACCCTAATATCGACCAAACACTGACCACTGCAGATCAACACAAATCATGACGTGAGATTGAGTTTAACTCAAAGATTATGACAAGCTTTTTGCTACCCAAATTTGCAGGAAAGAGAGAGAGAGACATAGATGTAGGGGAGAAAAGAAGCACGATAGTCACCATCCTTCGTTGGTGCCCTCTGTAAATCTTGTCACCGTCATCCATGTCGTTGTTTTCTGTGTCATTCTATGTCGTCTCCATTGAGATCAAAGTTCTCCGATCATTCGCGAGCATCGCGTCGATTCTACCGTGACCGACTTCGCAATTCTGACAAGTTGTTCGTGAACCATAAAAGATAGGGAGAAAAACAAGAGTGAGGAGAGAGAATGGTCTTTCATTTACCTAGTAAATGACTCATTTACCTGATATAATCATTTACGTGGTAAATGATTCATTTACTACTAAAAACAGTTTCTCACGATCCTCATGCCTTTCTTTCCCTCCTTCTCTCCTCGCTCTCTTTCTCCCTCTTTCAGTCATTAACAACGTCTGCAATGCGGAGGATCCTTGATCTATTGAAATCGCGGCGGAGTTCATTGTCAGTCGAACCGCGCTGGAAAAGAAGACAATCGTCGCGGCACTCGTTGTCAGTCGAACCAGTGCCAAAGAAGAAGATAATTGCAACGTCTGGAGCTGTTCGCCGTGTTCCCTGCAAGTCACAACAGAGGCGATACCTCGTGATATGCTCAAGAGGCGGCTCGCGATGTCCTCTGGCGAGGAGCTAGTAGGCTTTAGAGGCGGAGTTATGCCAGTTATGAGAATGGAGAAAGGAGATGGGGGTAGTTTGGAACTTTTGTTGAGAATCTGTTATTAGTTTCCACCTTTTAAAAGTTCTGCTATAAATTTTTAAGAATTGTCTCCAATCCAGTATCGGATTGGAGCGGCACATGTATATATTTTTTAAAAATATGTATATTTTTTTTTGACACATGTATATTTTCTCTTAAAACATGTATAATGTGGAGAGACACCTCTAATTTATCTAAACACCTATATGCATATTTTTAGAGAAAATATATATATGCCAAAAAAAAATATACATTTTGTAAAAAAAAATATACATGTGCCGTTCTAATCTGGTACCAGATTGGATACTTTACCTAAATTTTTATTCACCCTCCAAATATTGTTATTTCCCTCTTTCTTCTTAACATATATGTATAAAACAATTATTTTGCCCTTAATTATATGTGAATTTCTACAGTCACGACGATGAACACACCATTACCGAAAGCCCCAATAGGCACCCGATAGCCGCCACTATCCTGCGAGCGCCACCTCAAGTTCGCCCATGATTTAGTGCTGACTCCACCTTGCTTGTCACTGGAAGTAGCCTTGACAGCCTCAACTACAACTGCGGAGTGTGTTTCTTCGCTCATAGGCCAAAGTACACCAAGTCATAAATCCAACTGATTCGCTGATATGTCTTAACCAATAGATTTTTTGTCTTGTCCCCGACTTTCATCCCAACTTCGTTTGATTTCTCCATTGTCGGACTATGTGCCAAACAGTAACAAAACTTTAATCATGCAAAAATGTTTAAAAAAAAAAAATAAATAACAAAAAACTATTTAAATACGCAATACCAAACCAACTTGTACTCTATTTTCTTCTTCTTCTTTTTTTCCCTTAATTTCAATATTTTCAATAAGTAAACTACCTTGGTAAAGGTCATCATTTCTGTAAACAATATTCACGTACTATTATTTAGAAATCAAAACTTGTGAGTTTTTTTTTTATAAAAGAGTACTACTAATAATGTCAGTTTATAATAGTTAGATTTAATTAAAATCACATTAAATTAAAAAAATATGTAAAACTACAGTTTTGATTATAAAGTTGATGACTGAAAATAAAAAACCATCAGTAATTCATTTTTTTTTTTACTCTACCAAATAAGCTCTTCAAAAAACTTTTTATTAAACAAAACTACCACATACGCATTTCTATTATGATAAATGATTAAATAATTTTTAATAAATTATAAATAACATTTGATAAATTATTAATTAATAAACCATTGATTCATCAATAATTTTTAATAAGGGTGGCAATTCGTATCACGTGTCACGTTCGTGTCATGTTTTAATCACTTCCTTTTAAATTTGTAGTCAACTTGAACACGACCCGTGACACAATTTTTTAAAAACCGCAACACGAACATGTAACATCCGGTTAAATTAATTGTGATTAATTAATCAAATCCGGTGGTTAGTGTTAATTAATATGAGATTAGTGAAAGATTTCAAGTTATAATTATCATGTAATGGACCCTTCTCCTTTAAAAATGATTGTTTTGAAATTGACACGGT